TTAAATAAAGAGACTAAAGAAGACCAAAAGTGAAATTCAAAGAAGTACAAGAAATATACCAATTTTAAATATTGGCAGATCAATTTGGTGTCTTCAAAAAACGTTACAGTGTGATACTTTGCAGCTGCACTCTGAATTTGTCAAACTGTATTTGTCAACAAGTTTAGGTAAAAATATATCCTGGATGTTGGCTTGGAATATAAATGTCATTAAATTTTGAATCCTTCTCTTAGAATTTGAAATAAGAGGCAATAAAGGTTTGGTGTCAACACTGACTCCGTTACAGGTGAAATACCTATTTTCAGCTGAAACAATGAAGCAAAAGCACCTGTTTGATTGATGATGAGTTTTTAGCTAAAATAATGACTTAGTTTTTTTAATACAATGAAAACTTTGGCATAGGACAGGTTAAAGTAGAACTACGGTACAGTGAAGAAAAGTGATAAAAGTGTTTTTGGTGTTGGTGTCAGCGTTACAGGTGAAATGATTATTATAACAAACTCTGATACTTAAACTTCCAGTCTCAGAAACAAGTATCTGATGTAGAAACCATCAAGCTTATCACTAAATAGAAAGGTTTAAATGGTTTGATACCATTTATTACTATTATTATTAGTTAGTTGTAGGATTGTCACTCAGTAACAGTGACTATTTGGTGTCAGCGTTACAGGTGAAATGTTGGTTAAAGGGAATATACAACATTTGCAAACATCGAAAAATAAAACTACCAAGTTTTTGCGAAATACCTTAATAGGATGTTGGTAAATGACAGTCTAAAGCATCTTGTAAAATTATGGCACCTGGTATACTGTCATTTTCAAGAAAAGTGGTATTTTTGTATCAATTTCCAACGCTGATCGGCCGATCAGCGTTGGAAACAACTGGCTTTTTTTTCAAATACTGGCCCCTATTGACCATCGCACTTGTTTGCAATCGATTACAAACCTATGAACGGGTACGAGCCAGCTAGACTGGTTCCCTGACTTTACAATTCCCCAATGTATGTAAACTGCTCTGTTTCTTCTAATATGGAGTCAGGGAACCAGACTACAGGAAAATGATCGTTTTTCTTGGTTTTTATAGCATTTTCGAACCCAAAACCTCAAAAAAGTCAGTGTAGCTATATTTGCTATATATTTCCAACCCCCCAATTCCATCCATTTCTGAAAATTACAGCAAAAGCAAATGATGTATATTCCCTTTAACACCAGGCTTTAACTTACAATAACATGCTTTCTAGTGGTGTTTGTAAATCTTCATTGTTCTTCATAGTTGCAGTTTTGGCTGTCAAACTTGCTTTTAGAGAACAAGTGAGTGTTTGTCTTAAAATAATATAATTTCATGTCAAGTGAGAGCTACATTTTTGTAATCATCATAATACATGTATGTCAAATTTCCTAAAACTTGATATTTGATTTTCAACAAATGTTGAACAAGGATAGTGTTAAAGTTTTTTTTAACTTATATGTGTTGCAAATAATTGCTTAAAAAGCAACATGTCTTTATTATACCTGAACAATAACCTGGTGAGAGCTCTATAAGAAATTAACAATTTGGTGTCACTGTTACAGGTGAAATTTGTGTCCCATATGCCAGTTCATCATGTTGCTACTCTAAAAAGGGTCATGTTACAGAAAAATGGTTTTGTTTTTGACAAAATATAGACCCTTATCTGCAAAACCATGTGAAGCTGAATTTAATTTAGTTATTTTGAAAATTTGACCCTAATGTCACACACTGGCCTCCACATTTATGTAAACACCCACATGGGGTTTCCAAAAGGTACCCTGGTACATGTAGATCAATCAGGAAGTAAAACAGTTCCATTTGGACTGGCCTCCTATGGTGCAACTACCGGTAATTGCTGTAAGGGATTAACCAGATAACCTTACACTGGACTCTTGAAAGATAAACATCGAAAGCCTGGTATGAAAAGTCCAATGTTTTTAAAAGGGAAAATCACCTCATGAATATTCAAAACACACCAGACAGTTTTACATGACAGCCGGCACATTTGAACTGCAGGCGCCAGTCGAAAATTGCACACGTATGCCAGTTAAGACATGCGTGCGTAAGCCATGGTTAAAATTTGCATTCATCGATCGGGAATTAATTGGTCCACTGATCGGGATTAGCATGAACAATGAGCTTATGAATATTCAAAACATCAGGTAAACATGTATCAATATATTTCTTGTTGATGCAGCTGATCCTTAACCCTAACCCTCCAGGGTATATTGGCTTGAAGCCCTGCCAAACGCAGCAACATGCCACACTTGTCAAAATGACAAGCCTGCCCAGTGTAGCAAGATCCATCAGGCCAAAAGTCTCAAGGCCAAACCGCCTCAGAGTCTGTGGTCCCCCAACGCAGCAGGATACAACTCTGGCATTGTTCTATGGGACTAGCCCTCAGTGTCTCAGAAGTGGCCGGTTTATGCACTGGTGTTGGTAGCATTTTCAATCAAAGTGCACCAGACTTTTCCACCTGATGCACTGTGATGCGTCTGGCAGGGTTAGGGTTAAAGGATTTTAATTCTAAACCCCTTGAACCTGCAACCTCCGGATAACCGTCATGTAAAAAAATGTTGGTGTCCTGAGTCCATCAGAATCCACCAGTGTGTATACATGTACCTCGTTCTCACCAAACATACAGGAGTTAATCTGTTGAGATCCTGAATCCATCAAAGTCCCCCAACTGCTCAATATGGAGGTATCCCAAATCCATCAAAATCCTGCAGTACCGCTAGGCTAACTGTCCTGCATCCATCAAAATCCCAACTTTTTCAATATGGAGGTATCCTGAATCCGCCAAAGTCCTCCAAAACAGGGTCGTGGATTTTGATGGATTCAGGTACATGTACACGTACCGGCACCCCTGGTACGTTAGGGCAGGTATCAGGAGGTGATTTAGAAAATAGAAATTGCATGCACAACTGAGATTTTTTCCTTGAAAATGGGCTGAAAACATAAAATTGTGCATGCACAGAGCCAAAGTTACATGCATCTGTGCATGTAAAACCCCTCTAAATCGACCCCTGGCACGTATCAGTATTAGGAGAGAGAATACTTCTCCTTACAAAATTCTGTTGACAAGTTATGGCTGTTTAAAATTTGCATTTATCGACATGTCAAAAAATTTAAATGCTGAGAAAAAGGTCCAACCCCCTAGTGAGTGTGAACAATCATAATTGGAGGATTCAGGACTGTTAGGGCTAAAGTTCGATTTTTGTTGGCAACACTTTAGTCGTGAAAATGAAAGTTGCCGATTGGTTTTCCTTAAAAACACTTTTAGGCATATTCCACGATTCTAATACTATTTCTTTAAAATATACGCAGCAGACATATCAAAGATTACAAATATCGTTAAACCTGAAACCCGCAAAAAAATTACGCCCACAAATTTTTTGTGCATTTTTCTCCACTGCGGCCTGTGCCCACTTCCATCGCATTTTGCCAGAACACCTAACATATTCGTTATTTTAGACATAACCAAAGTTCCTACTTTTTCGATCTTAACTCTACTTAAAATAATGTATGCTTCAGTCTCAGGAAAAGCATGCATACATCTAACTTTACGGTTTCTTTCATCAGGCTTGCAACTGGGAATTTACAAAAAAAACAAGGAAACTCCGAACCACACAAGACTTTGTGCAGTGTTTTTCAATTTGTAATGGCATTTATGAGAAGTAAAAAATGAGGAAATCAGAACACCCGAGGAAAAGTTGCATGGCTGTTTCATGTATGTATTTTAAATTATTGTATAACATGTACACTGAACAGTGAACAGTCACACACCTTCAATTTTAGCATTGAAGGAAACATGGTGGACAAAATGACGATGACCAAGGCCATGAAGGTTGGAGACAATGCAGGCAGAGAATGGACACTGACCATGCCGGAAGCTTAATCATGCAGTACAATCAGTCATCAGTCACGGTAATATGCACGGCATACTGGTACATGTATTTATTTTGCAGTGTAATCTATGTCCTTGAATTTTTGTATCGATGTTTGCAGATAGATTGAAAAAAGAACATTCTCACAAAAACCTACACTCTACGCGGACCTCAAAACCTGACAAACACTGAGAGGGTTCTCTAATTTATCATGTCACTTTTTGCTCAGACAAATATGTAAACGATGGGAAAATGTCAGACGAGCCATCAGAAAACCACCGTCTGTAAAGGGAAGGTCATTTTTAAGGCCAAATAAAATATATACCTGTGCATCCGATTACCCGGCCCATGCTCCAAACCATTCAGAAACTTAATATTGTAATTAAAAAACAAAATTACATGTATGATGACACTGCCATCCTAGTTTTGGCCGACATTTAAAAAAAATATTTATTTCAATTTTTGTTAGCTGCTAGGCAATGCAATTTTGCCACACCACACAACAAAGCATACAAATCTCACAGCAAATGTAGAATAAACAGTTAATTTAAATACAAATGCATGAAAACAAAATAATAAAAATGAATCAACCATCATCCCTTCCGAATGGTTCAGGCCATGAAAATTAAGAGCAAAACCAACAAGCTGGACATGATCTCAGAAGCTGCGGACTCCCAGCGAATTTTTGTTGCACTTTGGGGGGAATGTGTACGGCCGTTGTCTATGAATGAGATCTCGAGAGCCGCTATGCAGCGGCCATGCGGCTATTGTCCCCCGGATTATCGCCTTTCATTCAGCTGTGGCTGCGCAGAACGTTTGATACTAACTAACTAACGAACTAACTAACGTACGGAGTAACGGAGAGACACGATGATTTGTCAGACTGCTGTACCCAGCTAAAAAGGTTTACCCAACCACTCATTCTATGTTTGTTTTTTTCTTCAACGTAATAGGAAACACAAACATTTATTTTCCTTGGCCGAATATTTTCTTTGCCATCGAGGCACTTTGAGACATCGAGATACTTCTGCTAAGATACAAAGACCAGTCACTGAACCTTTCTTAATTACAAAATGATATGATTAAGGAAATATAAAAATCTACCTTTGAAGAGAGGGCTGATTTTCCAGCAACTGATGCAGCCCAGGCTGGAGAACTGACCAAAGCTGAGCTCAAGGAACATGACGGGTATGGCAGCCAGGATGAGCATCAAGAAATACACCATCAGGAAGGCTCCTGGTGAATCGAAACGAGGAGGGTCATTAAAAGGGAAAATACAACATTTGCAAACATCAACAAATAAATCTACCAAATTATTATGAAATACCTTGCTGGACTGTTAGAAAATGACAGCCTAAAGCATCCTGTAAAATCATGGCACCTGGTATACTGTCATTTTCAAGAAAAGTGGTATTTTTGTATCAATTTCCAACGCTTGAAAGCCTCTTCCTGAACTGACATCACAGCTACAGCGCCCTCCTTTGTCAAAAAAAGCATGGACATTTTTAAAAATGTTTCAAGAAGTGCACTTTTCAATAAAATTAACCAAAAAGGGATGTCAAATAGTTTATATACATTTAAGATGAGAAGAATGTTGCATAAAATATGCTCCCAAGAAAAATTCATGTCATGGGTCCTATTGAAGAAATGACTCATGCGTACTTCACGCCCACCGCACGCAACCAAAAGTCTTACGTGCGCCCACGAAACGTGTCCCTCCCAATGAGACTCGTAAGGTTCAGACAATTATGGGAAATTCCTTACAAAAAACACCCGGAAAGTTACGGTTAACGGTCCAAAGGAACTGCAAAACTCACCCCCGCCATTGTCGAAGACCATGTAGGGGAATCGCCAGACGTTACCCAGCCCCACGGCGTAGCCCATGCTGGACAGGATGAACTCCAGATGACTGCCCCAGGTGTCCCGAGAACTGCCCTCAGTCGACAGCTTTTTGCTTTTCTTCGTCATAATGGTACTTGGAATCTGTTGGGGGGGGGGGGGTGTTTCAAAATTCAGATTAGTTCTGTATATTGGACAGTGTTTTAGTCAAGTCACCAACGTCGAGTCCGAGTCCCGAGTCACAAGCCTCGAGTCTGAGTCTGAGTCTCGAGTCACAAGCCTGGAGTCCGAGTCCGAGTCGCAAGCCTCGAGTCCGAGTCACTTGTTCTTAGTTGTTCACCAAACTAATCAAATTTTTTGTAAAATTATTTTTCAATCATCCATTGTCTTTTAAGTAAATCCCATGTGTATAGCTTACATCGTACCTTGTGTGTGTACATGTTTTTTAGACCCAAAATGTGTTTTCCTTTTAATTCCCATCCCTAAAAAAACCTCCTCCATCCCTTCCCTCTATGTTTTATCACCCAAACATTATTCCTCAATGATCCTTTCCCATCCCTACCCCGTGCGCGGCCCCTGGATACGATTTTCCACGGTGCCGTGTTTTGTCTATGGAGTAAAAAAACAATGCTATGTTCGTCGCACAAATACGTAACGTTAAGTTTTCTCTTTTGATGAAAATACGTGACTCAAGTTACGAGTCACCAAGTTCGAGTCCGAGTCATCATGGTTGAGTCCGAGTCATTTTCCTGTGTTACTCGAGTTGAGTCCGAGTCACGAAAAATGTGACTCGAGTCCTACAAGTACTACACTGATATAGGATGTAGATATTTAGGGCCTGTTTGTTTTGCGCAGATCCTGATCGGGATCAGTGATCCAACGAGTAGATAACTGCTGTGGATCACGTATTAACGGATCCTGCCTGGGAGTTGGGTTCAGAAGACCAAAGATGGCAACGTGCGCGATGGGTGGGAGAAAAGTTGAGTTTTTCACCCTAACCCTGCTGAATCCAACAGGATCCAACTGTGTCACATACCCGATGGAGCCTGTTGAAATGAGCAGTAAACCCCTTGTGTACATTCCTCATGCAAAATGTTGGATTCAGCAGGCAACTGAACCGCATTATAACGCATTGTTGGACACTGTTGGATTCAGCAGACAACTGAAAATGAGGCACAGTGGATTGAACAGGAAAGTCCGGTTGGACTCTGTTGGATTTAGCAGGGTAGTCCTGAGGAAGTACATGTACTAGGCAGGCATGCAACTGTACATTCACCAAAAAAGAGGAAATTCCAAAATTCAGAAGACTTTGTACAGTGTTTTTTTTATATTGAATGACAGAAATGGGAATAAACAAAGAAAAAATCGCTGATCCGAGGAAAAGTTGCATGCCTGACTAGGGGGTAAAGTATATGTTATGCTTCAAATGAGCTTTTGTGACAATATTTCTTCAGAATTCTTTTGTGTTCACGATTGATTGATTTTTTTTCTGGAAATTGTAGATAGCTTATAACAATACCCCTTTTAGTTCTACCTACAAAAGGGATTCGACAGGAGAAGGGCAATACAAATGTAGAAGCATTTTCAAATAATTTAGCATTTGATTATTTGAACTTGGATCCAATCGTGCATCAGACAAGTGCTACATGCGCCAACCTAAATCACATGTGCCAGTCAGGAAGTGAATGCACACGTAATGCCCTGGTTGAAATTTGCGCGCATCGTTCAGGAATTAAATGGTCCACTTCAAATCCTCATTTAATCCTGTTTAGTCACTAAACAGGATTAAATGAGGATTTGCATGAACAATGAGAGCTTTACATACAATGTTAAAAACGCCATGTATGTATCGATGTCTTTATATTTTGATGCACTACAGCTGTCTTGCTAATACCTGAAAGATTTGACAGATCCAAATTTATACTGTATACAACAAAAATGACATCACAGGCATTTATTTCTCTTCAACCCTAGCTCCCAAGGCATTTTTTAAAGGATGCAACCTCAATCCTGCAAAAATTCTGCAACCGCCTCAATGCAAAAAAATTGCATACAGCTTCAATCCTGTAAAATCCTCCATCATTTCTTGTACATGGTCCTTGGAGGGGTGACCACTGCCTCAATCCTGCAAAATCCTGCAGCAGTCACTGTCAATATGTCGAGGCAGAGCCACTGACATCCTGCGGGGGATTTCAAGTATAATCTAGGCCCAAATTTATGCACGGCTGAGCATAAACAACACAAGGTCCGGCCCAAGACCTTGACCCAGTGCATCTGCCAAAATCAGCCATGTACATGTACATGTATATACAGTATGCATGTACATGTAGCCTCAATCCTGCAAAATTCTCCTTTCTCCAAAGCGGATTTTTGAGGATTTGAGAAGGTTAGGGTTAAAGACTGCTCTCACTTTTCAAATATTGGAACTGGAAAAATACTGTTCAATAGGGTAGGCCTACAGCCCTAATTGTGACAACCCACGGAAAAGGTGGGCGTGTGTTCCATGTACATGTACATATGTACATGTACATATATGTACACACAATTTCCAAAGAAATATGCACAAGACTGCAAATATTGGGAATATATTCGTGCTAGTGGAATGCACCCCAGCCACTTCATGGCTTAACCCTTACCCTACTAGACCCTCCAACGCATGCCAAAATGTGCCTCAAGAAAATCTCCTGTTTTTTGCATGGCCCTCCAATATCTGCCATGTCATTTCAAGGGTAACTGGACAGGCACTCCAATACATGCCACAGAGAACAATGAGAGTCCTCTGATAACAAAGTGAGTGCCCCCCGCTGGTCAGTATCAGGCACCCTCCAGGGCCTCCAACTCCTGCCAATTGGAGCCTTCACTGTTAAGACAAACTATCTGCCAATAAACTGCAGCTGGAGGGCATTGGCATAACCAACTGACATGCAGTAAACTACCCTCAGAGAGTAAGGGTTAATACAATTTAGTTTTAGTCTTGAAGTGAAATAATTTAGTAAGGAAAAAAATATATGAAGGGGAACAAAGTAACAAAATCCGACATTTTGTTTGCATCAGTTGAATTACGAATGTGTTATTCTAAATTCTGGAACCACCCATGTTCCGCCTGCCACCAGGTATCATGATTTTTACTGACCATGTTGAAATCACTCACGAAAAACACAATGCAAGTAGAAATACATAAATACAGGTATATTACATCATACCATGTCATAAATGGTTTTAGGCTTGTTGAATTGGGAAATACATACATGTACACTGTTTACTACTAACGTGCATTGTACGTACAGTATGACAAAAAGTGTTGGTATATTTTGAAGGATGCAACGTGTCAAGGTTTTACGTCCTATCTGCATTGTTCGTGTTCAGCCATGCATACATTTATACAGTACATTATAATAAATTATAATAAGGGAATAAATGTGTGCTCCGGAGGTTTTTATCACTCTGTTTAAGACTGCTTCGAGTCTGGGTGCTGATAATTACCCGAGCCGGAGGCGAGGGTAATTATCAGCACCCAGACTCTAAGGCCAAAAAAAAAAAGTCTTTGGTTTCTGGTATGGAGCTTGCCCAAAAAGTGGTGCGGTGACGCGGCTTTTTTTTTTTTTTTACCTGATTTTTTTGCTTCAAATGTCGGCTGATGACTGCAAATGGTGCCCGACTAAACTTAGTGCAAATATAGGGGAGTCCAGAGAGGCCACATAAAGCTTATTCTCAACCATAACCCAATCTAAAAACACGTTAAAATTGTGCAGCAGCAGGATTCCAGTCAAACCAGTGAGTTTGGCGGTTTTGAGACTGTCTGAGATATTTATGAATAACTATTTATTCATTTGTATTGAAATTCCATCATAAAACATGTTCAAATGCACTTTTCATGTTAACATTCTTTAAAAAATACACTTTAAAAAAATAATTAATGAATTGAAATGATAAAAGTTCTATTGAAAATACAAAGAAAGAAACTACAAAAATTACCCAAAAAAATGTCTTATAGCATTAATCAACAAACTTTACGACAAAAATTAACGGACATAATCATTATAAGGACATACATGTAATCCACACTGCTTCTGGAATCTGGATATCATCGGAACTTCAATGTATAACAATGATTGTTGGTGAATTTGAAGGATCATTGAGGCAGTGGTCGGCCCTCCACTGAACAAATTCAAGGAAATAACAGATGATTTTGGAAGACTGATGCATATCCAATTTTAACATGCAGCCAGTCAGAAGATTTGAAGAATTGAGGATGGATCCTGGCAAAAAAAAGGACTACAGTCATGACAGTAGGAGTTTAGGGCTTAGGACAATCGTAAACCCTTTTTTTTTTAAATTAAATCTCACAAGTCAGTTTAAACATGTTAAAACAAAAAATCATGTGTTACTTTTATCCATTTCATCCGTCATGCTTTTTTTCCCCTCATAAATTTAATGGACCGGGTGCCAAGTTCAAAATTAAGTCACAAGTATAAAATAGGACACGTCCTTTCCTTTTTTAAAGACCTTTTGTATATGCGGGTTTCTCAGAGAATATTCGATTTTATAATGTATTGTTTATATCAGTTTTTCAGTGGCCACAAAAAGAAATCAGCGTGTTGTATGCTTTCACAAAAAGTACCTGGATGACTGCAATATTATGTCAGTAAAAGTACCCGGATGGGGACAATATTAATATTATATTGTCCTCATCCGGGCATTTTAACAAATTTCACTGGTTCCCGCACAATCAAGAGCATAGAATCTCAGTTGCCAACATGGTCAACCAGTCAACGGAGCTCTGTACTGTCACACGCAGACGCAGCAGGGTATACGCCCATCAACAACCATCATGCCAGCTTTGAGCGGCGCGAAATTTGCTTCGGTAAGCGAAGAATATTCGACGAAATTTGAGAAATAAAGACAGTGTCTCGAAATTATTTCTTACGGATCAAGTCAGCCTGATAATGATATAATTAATAATTACAATATTGGATGGCTTTTTTCGGGGGATACAAGACTATATTGCACGAGCTATAACAATATAGCCTCAAAGCCATCCAATTTTATGCAATTATTTTAATTCATTAACAATAAATGCACAGGAGCTTCACTCATGCCGATCCCGGCCACACAAAAACGATTGCCCTCTAAACATGCTAAATCCGCCTTAACACACAAGGTCTATTGATTTTTCCTTTCTTCTTGACATTTAGTCCGGCATCACCCAAACAAGTCCACTGTCTTCACTGGTGGTCATGCAGTTAATGATAGCAAATGTCCACTTGGACTTACATGGCAAAGAGATGGACTCTCTGATGAAATTTATTGATTTGCCACGGCGATTCTTGTAAGCAGCTGCCGTTACTTCCTACTGGAATCGCTGCAAAGGCCGAAGGGGGAAAATTTGCCTAGGGTTGTGTCGAATATATTCAATTTGATCTCAATCGAATATCCAAACGGCGCTTTTTTCAATACAAGTATTTGAAATAGTGAGCGGTGTCGAGAAGATAATGACCCCTCAATATACAACAAAATGTTGACTATATTATTTTCAAGTGTATTATTATCATTATTATCCCTCCTGCTATCTGAACAGTTACAGACAGTGAAGAGAAACAATCCTCTTCCCCTGCCATGCCTTTTACACAGGCTAGTCACCTTCAACAGTCAGTTCATATTTCAAGCAAGCACTGTGACTAGTCAAATTCAGTCCAACAGACAAAAGCGGGCAAGTTGTAGGCACGGCTGGATTATCAATCTCCTACAGTCAAAGCATAGCTGTATCAAGTTACGTAAGCAATCCCAGCCAGTCAATCCTGCTGTATGTAGGCTGGGAGCTCTTAACTGTCACTTGTCACTTGAAACAGTCACTTGATTGAATTTGACTGAAAGGACAACTTTGCACAGAATGTATGTTTGCATAGAACTTGGTCCAACGTGTTAAACAGGATTTCTTTAGCGCTGTTCCATATACACTGTAGATAATGGCGCTCAAGTTGAGCGCCATTATCTACAGTGTATATGGAACCGCTCAACAGTAACAAAGGGAACAGACAAAATATTTCTGTTGTAAATAAGGGAGTTTTGAGCTGCTCTTTATGACGAAAGAGTTGCCACAGATCTACATGTAACAATGGAGCAATTGTAAAGGCTTTGTCGTTCAAGCTGTTTTTCAATTTCGGTACTAATAGCGTGTGGTATTACAGTTGGAACGAAGGCGAGGTCGACCGGATGCATACATGTAGGGCTTGATTCAGTGTTCAAGGTATTGAGCCTGGAGCTGTGAATACATTTGAAGATACTGTAAAAAGAGCCATTTTGAATTGAATTCTTTGTTGGACGGGAAGCCAGTGAAGTTGCGTGGTGCTTTTGTTTGTCAAATCACACTTTTGTTGAAAGCCTTGAAGTGAGAGGAGCCATGAAGTATTGATCACGTTTTTTTTTTTTATTGATCAGTCAAGTATCAGCCATCCTGCTACGTGTTATTTATATAATTTTAATACGCTCTTTGCCAATTTTTCACAACCAAACTCCAGTCAGCAGCCATTTTATGTTGGAGCATGTTGTAAAATTGATTTATTACAGTGCATTTCGAATATTCGTTCAAGTTCAAGTTAGAATAAATTGAATGCTAAATTATACATTGATGTGTACAAAATGTAAGTACGTAATATCATAGGACAAATGACATGTACACATATGTAGAAAATTTGGAACACGTCAAAGGTTTTTATTACACAGTTACTCGTGGCATTGTTATTGACGCCAGGTTCACAGGTCTAGCCTAGCCCTAGGCTTAAAAAATGATTTTTAAAATGATTGTTCCAAATTGAGAACCGCTAAATTCTTGACTTTTTCATATGAAATGAGGAGGGAATCAAATGAAAGTTGTAACTAGCACTCAGCACCCATCTGCCCATAGGTTTGCACGTTTGTGCACAAATTGCCTGGTTTGTTTGTCATTTAGACCCAAAATGCATTGCAAATATCTGTTATCAACAACAACAAAATTCAACCCAAACATTAACATTCCAATTATGAATTAAGCACACCTTCTTGGTTTCGTGGTTATGTACAAAGTATACGACTATACAGCTATGGTTACGTAGTAAAGAGAGTAAAGAAAAACTGAACTAAATTCTTCCATCGGAAAGATTCCCATATCTGGCCATCGCTTGTCACCTTGTCATGCCTGTGCACAAACCCTATGAGACTGGCCTGAACATTTTCAAGTGTTTTCTCAGTAAATACATGTACTTCAATATTTTCCCTGCTAATTTTGACTTTTAAGGATATTATGGAAAAAATGTTGCAACCTGACGCCACTTTTTTTTCTTCATATATCATCTCAATGAACATGATGAAGGACTATCATTGCAAAAATGATGATAAGATTAAGACATGAATTTTTGACTGAGAAACATTTTCAATTTTGTGTTAGGAAATAAATACATGTAGGCCTACTTTTTTTCTTGACTTTTCATAGACTTTGTACACAACCATGACAACCGCTGAAGTGGCGTCAAGTTGCAACATTTTTCCCCATATTTTATTATCACTTTCTGATGGCTGATAGATCACTGAAGGCAAAAATTTGTGATGGTCAGATATGGGAAACCTTTCCCTTTCAATTCCATCCTGTCTACGATAATGCGCAAACAGCGCATACCCCCCGTACAACATGCATGTGAATGACCACACGGTACCCGCGGTCACTATACTCACACTGCGCTCTCACTTTCAAGTCTTGCACGTGCTAAAATTAGAACGGAGTCACCTCTAAACATGCTCTAAATTATCGCACTTTACAGCATTTTCATTTCGATTCAACTAGAAAAAGACATCCCTGCTTCACCTACCAACTTACCAAACTCTATTGGAAACACCAGACAAGACGATCCGACTCTCTGAAACAGTAAATAAAGCAGGAAAATAATTCACCAAACGTTCCCGCAATTCCTGATAAAGTGATATGCGGATCTGTCTTTTGTCACGTATGCGCGCATATCATTCGCGCATCATGCATAAACATCACGCACGTGTACGTATTATGCGAACGTAAATAATTAGGCAGGTATATTCATAAGACGATCGTTTACTAGACTTAGTTCAAAACGTTTGAGTTTCTTAGTGAATATTGCTCTAGATTTCAAGGACGAAAAGGAAAACTAGGGCGTTTTAAACTTTTATTCATAAGTTTTTCTAACTTGACAGATACAAGTGTTAATTCCAATATACTCCATAGCACGAGTACAACTCTTAGTAATTTAGAGAATGTGCAAGCGCAAGCTTGAACGGAGTCTTGGCCTTGAGAATAGTAAAGTACAGGCAAAACACCGTCATGCTGTGACGTCTTCAATACCCCCCCCCCCCGGCCCCGGCCCAAGCGCACGCGCATAATTAGTAGATCATATTTGCATGATTTTTATTTTAATTTCATTATGGATACATTTTATTTCTCCATGTTTTAATGTTCATAAAAACATTATATTATATTCATATTTCCCCAAAGTGACGATTTCATAAGCTAGCAGAAGCCTTGTGTCATCTGTTTTAGGACAAAGTAATAAGTTGCCATATTTTTCTGACACTTTTTCTGTGCTATCATTCTTTCATGGTGTTTTTAATCTTCAAACTACAACTTTAATTTTAGGAGAATTCATACTTAATGAGATGGCTATATCAAATCGTATATGGCGAAGATAGGACACATGAGTATCTTTTTGTACAGCGCCCGATGAAACTAAACGTCATTGGGCTATGGGAAAGGGCGCCCAAACGTTGGGTAGGTAAACGCGTGTGAGAGGCTACAGAGAATCAACACGAGAATTATACATCGACTCAACAAAAATTTACAGATGATGAAATGAAGAAATGAAGTGACGAATAAAGGAGTAAATGAATGAACGAATAAATAATGAAAGGGGGATAAAAGTAGACCTGTCAGTGAAGACAGTAACATGTTGAGATTTGGCAATGTTGAGATTTTGCAATGTTTATCAAATAAGAGAATATTAGTTATTGAGGGGAGAAGCTCCAGACGGGGTAATGCAACGAATTAAGGACTTAAAGCAGATATTGCATCAAGAGTCCACAACTTACCGGAAGTTGTTCAAACGTGGAAACCGATTCAAATCATGTAAAATTGGTTTTGCTGAGTAGGCAGGTTTCAGATTTTATGCATCCATTATAAGTGGAAAACCGTGAAGGAAAAAACACACTCAAAAAGAAAACGCACCTTTGTTTTTTACCACGATAATTATCTCCAAAGTAGTTAAGTTAATGATGAAGTAACAGTCATGTTGGACTAAAGTAAAACTTGAACGATTGAATGAACTGTTAGGGAAACGAAGCAACCGAAAAAAATTAACGAAATCTGAACTTGGCAATTCAAGACGTGTTCCCCTGTGGATTCCCGTCAATGGACCGATCCAGTAAGCACCGCCCCATGGTATTCTGACCAATCACAGCCGTGATTTATGTCCGACATGCGTGCACAAAAGTCCGACATGCGCGTGCACGCGCGTATGATGCGCGCGGCAGGAAAATGCAGTGTGGCTGTGGAGATGAGCACGTGTTAATTTGCCCACGTGCGCAGTGGGAGGGGCTTACTGGATCGGTCCATTGTGCTACTTCAGACAGTCAATAACAAAATATGACACACCAAGTAATTTCGTTGTGAAAAAAAGAAAATCCGCATTCTTTTAGTTATGAATACAATCAGTTTCCTAGTAGAACCCATTGCTAATAACATGAATAGAATACTTGTATGATCCCTTTAGTTTTTTTTGTATAATAATCAGAATAATGACAATTATTATTAATTATTTAAAAACAAAAACGTTTTCATGTCACTAGAACATCACAAGCGCTGTACAATTAAACAAACTACACACATTCTTAAAAAGGAAAAAAATATATAAGTCATTAATAAAAAGTTAATTAAAAATAATTAGCAATTAATTATTTAAAAATACTGTTGTGCTTTTTACTTTAAATTTTTGTTGTTGAGAATAAGCCGTAAAACTGTTCACATCACCACCCCCATCTCTGATTCATAGTGACATGAAAAACGTTTTTGCTTTTAAATAATTAATAATAACTGTCATTATTCTGATTATTATACATACAAATAATTGAAGGGAACTCTCTTCCTGCCCACATACCCACTAACAGGAATCTGGCCAGCTTCAAGAGGGATTTGAATCGGTATCTGGGCTACAAGCCATCAGCAGTCTCTATTAATTAACAATGTTCTAGCTGTTAAGGCCCAGATATGCCTTGTTTAAACCTCTCCCCCCCCCCAAAAAAAAATAACCCACTACACTAGGCTACATGTAATCTACAGCATATACTCTACACTGTCAATTTCAAATGAGGCACTTGGGCATTTCCCCCTGAAGCACCCGATTGGCGCTAAATCAGAGAATAAACTGCTTTAAAATATAACATATCTCAAAGATTATTTTACTAAAGAAAAAAATAGACGTTCAGTTGCTTTGCACAACTAACTTATCACATGGAGTGACTGGAGCAAATCTGCCTTTTACCTACCAGGAACGCGATGGCGCCCTTCCCCATGAGCAGTTGCTTCCACAAGATAGAATTTGCGTCGGGTGCATGATGTAAATTCAATATTGTGGTTTTTGCCCTTCACCGATGGTCACTCAGTATTGTCCCGAGCGACTGTGAGAAAAAACATCGCTCGTGTGGGACTCGAGCCACAGTGCGTGCAAACTTCAATAATGTATAACCACAATTAATTAATTTAATATAAATAGCATTTTCCAGTTTTTAGGATCACAAGTGTACAAAATTTACCCTAAATATTATCTACAATCACGGGCAAAATTTGCGTAATGTGTACTATGATAATCTATCACGCTGCCGTCACGTTAACCTTGGACCTAACTCCATGCGTTAACTTATCAAATTTAACTTTTTGCTCGGGAATTTCAGTGAAAGTAAAGTGCGCCCTCTCTTGTTTCTTTAGGGATTTGCGCAACAAAGTTTAGTAACAAGCAAGAAGTCCTCATCAACCTAGACGTGAGGACAAGTCGCTAGCCGAGACCTGCTCAGAAAATATATACAGCGTAAATATTTGGAAAGAATAATTTGTACCATCAAACAACCTTTTCTTAGCAGAAACCTTTCGGCAGTTTTAAAGGGAAAATACAACATTTGCAAACATCAAAAAATAAAACTACCAAATCATTTTGAAATACCTTGCTGGACTGTTAGTGAATGACAGTGTAAAGCATCCTGTAAAATCATGGCACCTGGTATACTGTCATTTTCAAGAAAAGTGGTATTTTTGTATCAATTTCCAACGCTGATCGGCCGATCAGCGTTGGAAAAAAACTGGCTTTTTTTCAAATACTGGCCCCAGTTGACCATCGCACTTGTTTGCAATCGATTACACACCTATGAACGGGTACAAGCCAGCTAGACTGGTTCCCTGACCTTACAATTCCCCAATATATGTAAACTGCTCTGTTTCTTCTTAAATGGAGTCAGGGAACCAGACTACAGGAAAATGATTGTTTTTTTGGTTTTTATAGCATTTTCGAACCTAAAACCTCAAAAAAGTCAGTGTAACTATATATTTGCTATATATTTCCAACCCCCCAATTCCATCCATTTCTGAAAATTACAGCAAAAGCAAATGATGTATATTCCCTTTAATATTAAAACAAAGTTAAACATACAACTTAAACTGTCAGTGGACCTTTACCAGCGAATGCGTGAAATCTCACCTTAAGTTAATACTATATTGATAGCTTATATATATATATAAACCGATGATTCTATTCTAACTTTATTTCATCGGCACTAAACGATATCAATACCCATAGCCCCATTTATTAAAATAAATTTGAATACAATTTTTTTATATGACATGTAACCAGCTGCTTACTGGCACGTGGTTCATCTTTTAATATAAAGATACAAATATCAGACCAAAACTACATGTACTGCTATTACTTACATCTAAATCTAATTCCAAAATATAACCCAGTACGCTCCCACTAACTGCTCTAGGTTAAAACTAAGGTAGGCCCTGGGGATGAGGTTGCACTGTTCCTTTTTTTTTCAGTAAAATGTTCCAACCTAAAGATAGGGTAGGTATTTTGATGACGAACAGAGCATACTACTCGAAACGTCGAGTTAAATCAACTGGTTCTTCTCAGAACCACACAACTCCCAAAGAGCTAACAATAGGTGTATGTGAAAAAAAAAATTAGACTCTGGAAATACGGACTCATTGGTTGTATTGCGCATGCCTTAATGATGCATAACTCCGGCTACGTGTGAGTCTTAGAGTCCATGTAGCCTAATGTAAACGGGACCAGATTTTATAGCAGGACCAGTTTCGATATGACACCAGTATGTACATTTGCATGATCTGCAGCAGGCCTGTGAGAATACGCAATATATTTACAGTCTTAATTGGCCAATGATTTTAATACTGGGAAGATTCGTCACGGTGCTTAGCAACCAATGAAATCCAAAATGTATTATGCCCTGAAGTCGCTGCCCGTAAGGGAAGGTTTTCCAAATCGAAGCTTCGTCTAAGCTTCGTCTAAGCTTCGTCCCCTGGTTCGCCTTTTAGGCCCCTGATCTGGGCACTCCGGATGCCTCAGGAATACCAAATACTATCATATTAGGGTACTTTTCTAAAATACAAGTCATGTATCTACAATGTTGCCACAATTCTGGTTCGGAAATAAAAGGCTTCTAGAGGACCTCGGTGCCGTAAGTGAATCCGAACCTGAAACGAACCCGGGGTTTGGAAAACGCCCCACGAGGTCATCATGTATTATCAGTCCAATCTTTAATCACACAATGCTCTCGTCTTGATGGTGGTCAAGGTCTATGTCACTGGTCATTTGCTTGGTCATCAGGTCAGAGGCAGGCAAGCATATTGCGTCCTCCTTGTCACTGGTGTTAATCTTCGGATACGGTCCACGCCCGGGCAGCGGGGCGTAACCAGCCTTGACTCGGTTCACATTCAGGTGCGGACCCCAGTCAGGCGATGGCTGTACTGCACGTCTCAGCCGCTGTAAAGAAAATAATGGGAGTTATGTCGCCATTGTCGACTTCACAGGGGTAAAAAAAAAAGCTCAGCATTGCAATTAGGACAAATTTTAAGAGGTGAACGAAAACGAAGAAAGTTGAAAGACCTATCCTAACATTTTTTGTCCACACACTCTTCAATAAAAGTAAGGGTGTACACTAGTGTGACATTTTGGACTATGAAATGCACGGTATTGCTCATGCCTAGGTGAAGATTAGGACATGGTCACGTACGTGTGTGGGTTAGTGTCCATATTACGTAAAAGATACCAAATTTCATCGGAGTCCATATTCCATATGACACCGGATTAGATTCGACCCGGATCCGGATCAGATTTGACCTGACGGTACCCGGTTCAAAACTTCGACAAGGAAAAAAGTGCCATTTTAATAGGAAAAAATGGTCATTTTAACCCAGAATAGTGTCGTGTTGACCCACAAAAGTGTCATTTAGTCTCGCTAAATTGCCATTTTGACCCACTAGTGTGTCAGGTCAAGTCTGACCCGGATTTCAGAGACGAATCTGCATGTGACGTTGTTGCCGGTGTGGACTTCATAACGCATGGAAACCCACCTCAACAAACGTGCCACTTTCCCTGCACAGGTAGTATACGGCATAGACGACGATGTATACCAATACAATGCTGGCGAGGCACCAGCCTATGGCATCGGCCCATGGCGGAAACGTGTAGTCGGCGGTTTTAGGAGGTTCGTAGTCGGCGAAGGCGAACACAACGATAAACTGAAGGGGAAAAAAAACAGATCTATAATACTGATATACAGTGTGTCTAAAAAATGCAAACAAAATATAACGGGATGCCAGACGTATAGAGTGTGTAACCAACATGGACCAAGTGTTTAAATGCAGTGTTATTCGATTTTGCTTGGATGTGCAAGTGTTGCAATGCGGATGAACTGTCGATGCTTACATGCACATCCCTTCCCCCTCAACATGCTCTCCCTCTCGCTTGATGAACAGGCGACAACGTCTCTCATGTTTACAAACTGACAGCAAGAAAATCTTTAGAATTGTGATCTGATGCACCGTGCCCTCTGGAGACATGCACACAATAGGGAACAAAAGATTGTATACGTCTCCACAGGGCAATTTCTATAGGTGAATAGGTCCCCACAAGGTTTTCACGACATTTTACTCAAAAACCAGAGCATTTTTAAACTACACTTTCAAACTCGAAATCTTTAGTACATGAGAACAAAGGAATGTCTCCACAAGGATACAAATTTCAGTATGCGTGGTTTTAAATGCAGTGATAATCGATTTTGTTTGGATGTGCAAGTGTTGCAATGTGTATGAACTGTGGATGATTACATCTCTTCCCCCCTCAACATGACCTCCCTCGTATCTCGCTCGATACACAGGCGACAACGTCTCTCATGCTAACATGTCTAGCATGTAAACATGTTTACAAACTGATAGCAAGAAATTGTTTAGAATTGTGTTTACTCGTATACACACTTTTTTTGTAGGCCAGGCAATTACCCACACTAGGCTACCTTTGTCCCAATTCCTAACATTGAAAACTTGGTCCCATGGTCAATTTGACCTCTCTCGGGAAGTTACACATAACTCTGTCAAAAATTTTCAGACTTGAACGTTTGACGTCTCATTTTAAAGTGGAAAGATGTATCTTTCAAACCATACCTATATGATCTATGTTGGTTACTTATTCTACGTCTGGCATTCCTTTATATTTTGTTTGCATCTTTTTGGGACACTGTATATACAGGGCTATCTTGGTAAAGACACGTTTGGGGATATTACGGTGTTGAAGTGGTTCCAGTCAAACTTCTTTTACAATGTGGGCGTGGTCGGCAAATGGGCGGTATATTTTGCTCCGCCTGTAGACCAACCCACAGACACGCTATATCACGAAGGCTTCCTTCAATGGCGAAAGCAAATAATCTGACATGGGGCACTATAGCTTTGTACAATGTCGTGCACAATGGTTTCTCCATCGTGAGTGTACAGTGATCACATAGCCAGTTTCGTCTATATATCCGGTTTGTTAGCGCGTCACTTCAGTTTAAAGCACGCCCACTGCACATTAAGTATCGGGTTCGCGCGCTACTATTTGCGATACCCTTGCAAACATTGTTTCGCGAACAAAGCTGTCCTGACTTTTTAGCCTCGAGTCTTGCGCATCTTTTAATACCAAAAGCATAAGATTCGGACCATGGCTTGCCGCGCAGCGACAAACTTTTCCGGCGCTACGTGCCGTGAAAACTGAATTTCCCAGGGTACACAAAGCAGAATTACCATTGGTGCATAATATTAATTAGCCATAATTATTTCCAAAACCATTTGACCTATAGTCATGACATTTCTGGGGTATTCATATCAAGTTGTTCTATGCATGTACCGAGTTTCATAATCTTTCGTCACCCGAATCCGCCCCCGGCTGTGAGATGGTCAAAATAACCCGGCCCTTAGGGTTAACACAACTTGAGTTTTATCCAATGGGCGCTAGTAATCAGTTGTGCGCGAGAGTGTATGATGAATACGAACCGGACGGGCAAACAAAAAAAAGGCTCCCACTCGGCCTGTACATGCGCAACACTGAACTTATCCAATTATCTGCTAATAACCATATAAAGAAAGGAAGGCTCCAACATGGCTTCTCTATGCCACAGCCATAAACCATACCGTCAGCAACGCCGGGCAAAACAACATCCAACACAGTTGCCAGTACATCGATGGGGTAAAACCAAGCATCGCTTCGATGTCACGCACGACCCGTTTGACACCTGGAGAACACAGAATATAAATACAAGAACAATGTCAAGTACAGCATCTATCCGATCTCAACTACTGCATTATACAAATAACGAATGTTTGTGAGTGCGATGGTAAGAATAATTTCATGAGGTGACAGATTGAATGTTCTATTCCACGAGGCGAAGCCGAGTGGAATAGAACATTCAATCTGTCACCGAATGAAATTATTCTTTCCATCGCACGAACGTAAAACATTCGTTATTTGTTTTATACAACACCTGAATAAATTCTCGTCATGTGATTGGTAAATTATAAACTACAATTTATTTTGATTTTAAAGATGTTGAACTACCCCTTCACGAAATTGTTTGAACCCAACGCTGTAGCGCTGGCTCTTTGGAACAATACGCGCTACGCTGAACGCCCACACCAGCATGCATTTTGCACGTAAATACCGCGTCATGGAACAAGCGCAAAGTGAAACGGTATAACACATGGGTATAACACATGGTCGCACCGTGCATTATACCGAATAATAATATGTCACGTGATCTACAATTCACCAATCAGATGACGGGGATTTATTCAGGTGTTGTATAAAGCGCTATAGCGAACACTAAAGTAACTGACCATAACGTATTATCCGTAGAGGTATACCTGAAACTCCAGGATGGTTCAAAATAAAGGAAAATCCACTTTTGACGGCGATTTTCACCTACTTAGTTAACTAATTTCAATTGTTTCTTCACACAGTAGTAAAGTGTAGCCCTTTAACTATCCATGGTGAAAAAAAGCTTAGTAAAAGTCGCCAGAATAGTGAATTAGCCTAAGCTAATTTGAATACATGTCCCCCAAATCAGTCTTGTCCACGTATTATTCTATGTACAGTGGACGTCAACAAAAAGCAGAAACCTTGCCAACAAAATGTTTTGACCTGGTAACTTTTATTGAGGCTGTCCGATTATTCATGTCAGTGTTAAGATCATCTACCCAAGGAGCTGTTAGGCTTAAGTTCATTGTTGCATAATATTATAACAATCAAATGTCACGGTTGTTAGCCTTTCAAATGTTAAAATGGCTATATATGTAGCGTGGGTTTCAACTGGTAATGTTCAAGCATGCATTGGTGCATTTTGTGTTGAGCGCATTCAAGCGGATGGAATGTATACCTCCATGGACGCACATGAAATCTTCAAAACTACCATAGCTCGGAGACAAAATAGGCAACTGCAACGATTTCTTCGTCACTTATGCTTAAAGGCAAGCACAGGCGTAGCCAGGAATTTGGAGCAGGGGGGGCCAAGTCCGACCGGCCTGTACAAACCCCAACCAGGGGCGGATCTGGGATTGTCCAAAAAGGGGGTGTGTGAAATGTCACAAGCAGCAAGTGGTGTAGGCAAGTTGTGTCGCCTACGCTGAAGGCCAAAGTGGGGGGGGGGGGGGGGGGGGGGGTGATGAAAAGTAATGCGTGGCGTGGGGTCCGGGGCCCGCTTAAAGGCCCCGGAAAATATTGGATTCTAGATTCTACACGGTGCGATCTCAGGCAATATCTAACCACTTTAACCAATTTTTTTCGCAAAAGATCACCATTTAAACATCGAGTTTGGAGTCATTGAATCAGCTATCCTGAAAACTCTAAAATCAAACTGTAGTACTAGTAGGCTACAAGATTTATTCGGTGATGAAAAAAAGTGGGTGGGACAAACGATACGATACCCCAACTTTAAGCAGGGGCGTCAATTGTTTCTCAAAAGTGGGGGGACATACCTTGATCAGAACTAATGTGAGCGCGAAGCCCTTACGGCGTTGGGTTCAGGGCCCGCTCAAGGGCCCCGAAAAAAAATTGGATTCTAGATGCTGTGTGGTGTGATCTGAAGCCATTTCTGACCACTTTAACCAATATTTTTTTAGCAAAAGAAAATAATTTGAACATCGTTTTCGATGTTCGAGTCATTGAATCAGCTATTCTGAGCTAGGCTTTGGGTCGGGGCCCCCCCAAAATTTGATTCTATAGATGCTCTGTGCTGCGATCTGCGGCAATTTACTTTAACCAATATTTTCTTAGCGAAAGATAATAATATTATTTAAACATCATTTTCGAGGTTGAATTCATTGAATAAGCTAGGCCTATTTATATTCTCAGCTAAAGGCGTTGCGTTGGAAATACATTTTTCTTTTGCCTTAGGCAAAGTAAAACAAAAAATCATGTTTCTCTCCCCACCCGCTTCCTTTTTTGGAGGCTTTTTAACTTTTGAAAAAAATCAGTAAAAAAACACCGAACAAGTCCACCAATTCATCGGAAAATAAATACCAATACCAATACAACTCTAAATGACGCTGTAAATATGTTCAGTTCTCTTGTCCAACTTGTCTTTCCTTTTGAAAGTGTCTTTGAACATTGGAAACACCAACGGTTGCAGAAAATTTTTAAATGGCAGTCATCTTGAAAAAAATAAAAACTAAAAAGCCGCTCTTCCTCCTTTTTTTCAAAAACCCGGACGAGAAACATGTTTTTTTTTCTTATTTGGCCTTATATGTTTTTGGTATTCCTTTGTTTTGACTGATTTTACCTCGAATACAGTATAAAGAGGTTTTCATTGTATTCAACTTGGTCAAGAACGTGTTTAATACGGCATGAGATCCGGGGCCCGCTTAAGGGCCCCGCTTCAGGGCCCCGGGACATTTTTGATCCTCCATGCTCTGTGGTGCAGTCTGAGGCCATTTCTGGTCCCTTTCCCCTGAATTATTTGAGCAAAAGTTTTTAAGACTTTTTTTGTTTATAGAAAAAGGCATTACATGATTTTCGGACAATCAAATACACATACTCGTATTTCGTACTCGTAATTAACGTCGGGTTTTGGTAAAATGTCATTTTTTTTTTACAGCAGGGGGGGCCGTGGCCCCCCTTGGCCCCCCCCCTTGGCTACGCCTATTAATAGCTACTAAATAAAAGCTTAAAATAACGGGTGAAAATGCTGTCAAAAGTGGATTTCTTTAATTTTGAACCACCATGTATATGTGAATATCTTGAGTTGTCGATAGCGTGTATACCTGATGAAATTACCACACATAAGCGATGATCGGCAACTTTATCCCGAGCCGCATACGTCCTTCCGTACTCGCACCATTTTCTAATGGTCCGTACTTGCTCATGACTGCCATTATACTCGTGTAACAATTTGCCTTGTACAGCTTCCGCATAAACCTACCATACATCTTCCAATATTGGTAACTTCAATGAACTCACCATAGACGTAGGATACAATCAGAACTTCAGACATCGCCGTTACCATCGGCGAAAAGCCCGCCACGTACCAGTCCAAAAGTTCCATCACGTAAATACCACCCTTTACAGAACGAAGGAGAAAGTAATCAGAGTAATTTGACAGAACAAGAAAGCCTTTTGAATGGGCAACATTAAGTTTGTATAAAGTGAAACGCTGCTGTTACGAACACTGCTTTAACGAACATTTGGCTATAACGAACATATCCTTTATTATAATGCACAATCACTATAAACGACCACTATCAGAAAACATTTTTTTTTTATGGACCCCATCGTGTTCGTTATAGTGGCGTTCTTAGTCAACCATGGATGACAAAAGCTTGAAATTGCACATTTTAGCCCAAGGATTTTGCCATATCTTCATTGATTTTTTTTAAGGTGCCTCCTGATTATTACGTTTTTGATAGTTGCATAATTATTTGGTACCGAGTCAATTGTTTGGTTATGTTTTTCTGCAATGATGGTCAACAAATAAGTTGCCAAAGACAGTTTGGGAACGAGGTTGGTAAACAAAAGTCATTACTGTGATGTACAGCAACGTTCGAGCTTAGGTTGTACTTCGCTCGTACCCCCCGCCCTGCAAACAGGACGCTGGGATACTCTGATGAGCTTCACAGAATCTTGTGAAGGAAGTGGTCCATGACCTATGTATAAAGCATCTGGCTGCAGCTGTTCAAGACCGCAGTAAGACAATGTGCGCAAATGCTATCCGAAAACTTCCTATAGAATTGCGCACATTCCATACCGGATGTGATTTCTGTTTCGTTGCGGACCATGTGGACAAAATTTTGAGCGTCGCATAATGCAATCCGACCGTTCGTGAGTCGAAACGGAGCCTGAGCAAGTGACGGGAATTGTAAATTTACAACACAGATAAGTTTTACAGAATTTCCTACATTATTACGCTTTTCAAGGAAAAAAAAACATCTCTAAACTGGAATAAAAGAGTAATGAATCAGTCTTAACGGCCGTTTCAAACCTTGCAGAGTCATGACCGTGATGACGCGCAGGTCACTGGTCACGCAAAATCCAACCAATCAGAGCGTGAATTCATCAGAGTATCCCAGCGTCCTGTTTGCAGGGCGGGGGGTACGAGCGAAAGGTTGTACGCACGCACTGCGCATGCTCCTGAGATCAACAGGGTTCATTATTATCTATGTTATCAAAATGTGCTCGCACATCGCCTTAACACCTGCGACATGGGTACAAGCGAGGTTCCACTTTAACACGTGCCAGTGCACAATAAGCTCTGGCCGTCTTGCATAAAAGTCTTCATTGAATTTAAATCTATCAAAATGATCTCTGCCAGAACGTAAAAATGCACCGCCCAAAAATGCGACGCCGATGGCACATGTGGAACACCATACTTTAGATTTATACCTAGATTTATAGCGATTTGTGACAAATACCACGTGACTATAACCTTACTGCAAATATTTTGCCTCCATTTACAAATTGTTCATAAATATCTTTCCGAATTGTTACAAACAATGTTTGTTAAGTATTTAATTTATTTCGTTTGCTTTTTTGAAAACTAAAATTTGGTAGTTATATTTTATGGGAAACTTAGGGGGTTTATTTTGGCCAATGTTCCGGGGACCGACTGATCGACCGACCACCAAGTGACATTTAGAAGCTCTAGCCAGAGCTTAAAAATGGCTTCTTATTTTGGATGTCGGATAAATCTATACCCTTTTTGGGGGGTAAAATTGATCACACATGGTTTACAAAGCCCAGATTTGAAGATGCGCACCTCAGTCACAAGAGGCAGACCAATAAGGAACATGACGAAGCACGTTGCGAAGATCAACCTTCCCTTCCATCGCCTGGCATTGGGCCAAACATCCGCTAGCTCGTCAATAATAGCCGTAATCAGGGTCTCCAAGCACACGAACTGCAATCAAAACAAGTGTAAAGACTGAAAAGTGGAGATTCTTGACTTCAAAGGTCAACATTTTTTTGAAAAAAAAATAGTCCCGGTTCGTTCACACTACAAGCATCAAACGAATATCAGTGTGTTTTTTGTTTTTTTCGTTGAAAAATCGTCATTTAAAGGCCTACTTCAACCGACCGTTGGTTACTATGCATATAGCATCATTTGCTGTTCATGCATTTTGTTCGATTCCAATAATAACACCCCTTAAAATCAAAAGAAGAAAGTTGAAAACCTTACCTGTTGAAGTTTCAGCTCAGTGGATATTACACTTTTTGAAAAAAAACCTGCAAAAATGCATCTTCATTTTCTGGACGCAAAGCATAGGTTTCTATTGACGGCGCGAAGGTTTGGTCATAACCATCAAGATGAAATGATGATTTTATTCCTCTTTGCTTGAAAATGACAGCACGCTACGCCAAAGGATTTTACAGATTGCTTGATCCTATTATTTACTTATTAAGTAGTAAAAACAAACTTAGCAAGTCAAGTCTGTCAGGAGCCAATTTTGCCCATCAGGCCGGCGTTTATCTCCGGTATCAGTAGCATGAAACGACAGAGAATATTTCTACTCCCCCTGGATGGGATGCTGGTCCATCGCAGGTTACTCCCCAGCTAATGCCGGTACCCACTTATACTTCTGGGTGGAGAGAGGCAAGTGGAGATGAAGTGGCTTGCCAAAGGACACAACATAATTATTGCCAGCGGCTGGATTCGAACCTATAACCCTCTGATCATGAGTCACGAACCCTAACCACTAGGCCACACTCCCCTTATTAAGTAGGATATTTCATTATTTATTGTAGCAGTTTGGTTTTTGAATTTTGCAAAAAACAATGATCCTATATGCCTTTATACTTCTGAAAAGGCCTATATACCATACCAAAAATTCTGTAAAAAAAAAATTAATCGAGAAAGAGTACAAACGATTTGCAATCGGTATAATGGATTCAGTGCAAGTTGAGTCTAGTTACCTGACTATCCATTCCCAGGATAATGAGCATGAAGAAGAAAAGACAAGACCACAGCTGCGGGAGCCACATTCGGGTGACTGCCTCCGGAAACGCAACAAATGCCAAACCATAACCTGCACGAAAACAACGAGGATTTTTATACCTCCGTCTTGAATACTGCATTTTCATAAGCCTAGAACGATCATGTGTGAAGTTTATAAAAACTCATGGCACACTCCCTATAGTGGGATATCACGTACGTGATATCCCACAGGGAGTGTGCTATGACCTGGTACGTACGGTACCGGTATACATACGATGTGAAATGCTTGTATCGTTGGTACCCACACTATTTTCACCATGTTTTCACCCATGAGTGGGAGCAGCGAACTAGCAGACGATCAGCTGTTTCGAGCACGCAACATGCATGTGAGTTGACGTTCGATTGTGTTTACTGCTGTTCGTTGTCGTGATTTTTACATCAAAATCCAAAGAATCCAACACAGAGGTATAACAAAACAATTGTTGACTAGTGTGATGTGGGGTATAACGTTTTGGGCGCATTCGCCTCGGGTGCTATGCGCCCGAGGGTGTTCAAAACGTCATATCCCACATCATACCAGTCAACAATTGTTAAATAGCTGTCAATACCTTTTTGTAAATGAAAATTGGTGAGATATAAACAAAAATGTATTGATCGGGCACTTACCGGCGTCTACCACATCTTCGACGTTAGTGTTGGAGTCGTAGGCCATAAAGCCTAAAATGGAGAAGATGACGAATCCGGAGAAGATGCTTGTACAAAAGCACGAGATGCAGAAAATAAAGGCATCCCTGCATGACGAGAAAAAAATGGAAATCGAGACGGCAAAATTCATTTATCATCCCAGATACAGAGTTGCGTTTACATAAGATTCATCAGTAAATATTATGCTAACTTTTGTTAATTAGACACATTAAGCTAGTTCGTTATAAACTGCGCGACGATTTTTATTGCTGCATCATCCGAATTCGTAAGTGATACAGGATGCAAAATAAATCGAACAAACGTTTTTGATAAAAAAAATAATAGTTTAAGTACAAAATGCTGAAAACGTTGGACTCCACCATGTTTTATTGACAATCGGTCTATGTCTTGTGTTTCAACTTATTGTTTAATTTAAACATCAGACTGCACATTCGGTAACCATCATTCCCCTAGACTTGCGGGTATTTATTATCTGCTCTGTTCATCCCAAAGTGGAAAACTGTGAAATCTTGATGTGCACTGTGAGTGTCAGCCATGAATTTCACGTGTGCAGAGCCACGAACGTCTGATAATCTTAGCATGCCAATTTTATGCGACCCCGCGCGCCAGCTAATATGGAGTCAGCTAGCTTCTGAAATTGTGACGTCATTTCGATCAGAAATGTGGACTAAGCTGTTGCTTGGTCAATTTGGCTACCACGTTTTTGTAAGTATAACAACAGGTTACTGCTGAAGACCCGATAGAAGGCACCCGCTGAATGGTCAGAAACTCGAGGTCAAGACGCAGTCTTGTTTTGCATAATTAATCGTCGAATCTGCTCGCATTATCATAGACCCTTGCTGTGCAAGGGGACATACATGTACCATGGACTAGATGGGCACGTACGAAGTTGTAAAATGAAACATTTCGTGCATGTACATCTCTGATTGCTTGGTGTTTGTATGTACTTGCCTGTAGCAGCGGTTGTTGAACTTGTTGTAGCTTGACAGCGTGTGCATGCCGCCCCAGCCGGGGCTGTACGAAAGAAACACTTGGTTGGCTGCAGCTTGCCATACCTTAATTTATTACATGTTGGGGAAATGAAAACAGAAAACTCATGAGTTTTTGTTTTTCGCACCAGAGGGCCAGCCTATCCTCTTTGTGTGCCTGACCGACTCACTGCCTTACTGACGGTCACTTGTGAACCGGGTAGTGCTATTGTACAGGTTTACCTGTTAAATCCGATTTATTGTGCAGACCATGAAAAGATGACTTCCAGTAAAATGCCATTCTGCAAACAAAATGAATAGAATATTGTGTACTCCGGGACCAGCTTTTCGAGGCTAGGCTTGTCTTAGATATTTTCAGGATTGTTTTGTTTGGGATCCACGCCAAAGGCTATCTCCTTTTCAGGCAGTACAATGCTGCAATAACGCCCTGAAGTATAATACCTTTGCCTGGCCGAGTTTCTTGAAGTCCGGTGTGATGAAGAAAAGAACTCCCTGCATGGAGCCCTCCAGCGTCGCGCCGCGCACCAGAAGAATGAAGAGCAACACGTAGGGGAAGGTAGCTGTGAAATACACTGCCTAAAAGTTGAAAAATGGAAATGACTGTATGGAGACTTTAAAAACCTACGATACTAAAAAACAGCAAAACCAGAAAATAGACTGGCGCATAAAACAACTAGTCCACCACTACTATAGTACAGCATAAGTAAAGAGTATCAGAAGGAGCATCTAGAAGTGCTTGTTCTATTTTACTCTTACATTTTATTCACAGTCAAGCCACTATAAAACGCTCCAACTTTTGAAATAAAGTTGGACATGTATACAAGTCTATTCTTACGCTTTAACTTTAGATCACCGTAGCGCTGAATGTAGTGAGAAAACTCTCAGAAAGATTGACACCGTCAAAACATGGCTAATGAAAAACTTCACCTGAATTCATCTATAACTGATTCTGGAGAACTAGGTTGGCTTTAATAAGAGGTTGTTGTTGCATGTGTGTGGTTTTTTTTACTCAGGTCTGACGATTAGTCGAGGTAAATGTGATGAATCACAGGCGCATAACAAGTCAAGTCCAAAGTAAATCACAAGTCACTTCACAAGTTTAGTCACAAGCAACAAGGGATGGGGAAACATACAAAGGAATGCCTTAGTGGCAGTTCATTTGGAAGGGCCTTTTTATGTTGACTAAACACTGGATGGCTTGCGATGGGTAGTGATGGTCAAGTGATGGACTAGTGATGGACTACTGATGGACTAGTGATGAACTAGTGATGGACCAGTGATGAACTAGTGATGGACTAGTGATGGACTAGTGGACTGGTGATGGACTAGTGATGGGCTAGTGATGGACTAGTGGACTAGTGATGGGCTAGTGATGGACAAGTGATGGACTAGTGATGGACTAGTGATGGGCTAGTGATGGGCTAGTGATGGACTAGTGATGGACTAGTGATGGACTAGTGATGGACTAGTGATGGACTAGTGATGAACTGTGATGAACTATACATGAACTAGTGATGGACTAGTGATGGACTAGTGATGGACTAGTAATGGACTAGTGATGGACTAGTGATGGACTAATGATGGACTGTTATGAACTAGACATGAACTAGTGATGGACTAGTGATGACTTCTGATCCATCACAAGTATGCCTCGACTATACAACATTGCCGATACCTTTCCAGAGGATTTTATTCCCCTCGAGACGCACACATAGATGAGAGCCCAGGCGGCGAGGAAGGCAAGGAGCAGCTGCCAGCGGATGGCGCCCAGATCGTGAAGACCGTCCGATTTTCCGAGTACCTGTCGTCTTGGGTACAATACAATTCGTGCAGATTGAATAGAATGAGAGGAGATTTGCAGTCAATTGCAGATTCGCAGTCCATCACAAGTCTAAGGTCGATACTAAAGCCCCACGGGATGAGGACTGACAACGTTTTGCCGTGTCAACATTCATTTGAATAGCTTGTGACTTGCTTTTCTACTTCATCAATTGTGATGACTTGTGGGGATTTGATCATAATACAGCATCCACTTTGCCTCCCTTTAATCTTTGGGAGGAAAGGGGAAGTAAGTTATATTTTTGAACTTGAATCTCGAAATTATCCCAATGTACATCGGGAAAAAAATGGCAAAAAAAGCAACTTTAGACCCCCCCCCCAAAAAAAACCCCGTTATTATCTGACGAAAGCCATTAGGCAAAATCACTTTAAAAGTTGAATTTCGCGCAAAAAAAATTTAAGCACAACATCTGTTGATTTACAAAAAAACTCCTCCTTAAAAGCAACTTTTGTCAGATTCCGACCTTAGTTGTTCGAGAATACTTTCAGTATTGATGATGCATTTAACCTTCTTTTTTTTTTTTAAATCAGAGACAAGCGTATCATGATATATATTTTTTGTGTTATCTGACTTGTGTGGCATAATTGTGTTCATCATACGAAATAAACCTAGCATGTTAAAAAATGGCATTAAAAGCTTTCAATTTACTTCCAAAATTCTTCGCTTGCCCGCACGCGGGTCCGGGTCATATTTGCTGGCGTGGTGACGTTCCAACCGTACATCGCCGTTGCTGTTGCCGTGGCGTAAGGCGGCAGCGTGCTCGCGGAGGAGTTGGCGGCCAGCGGCCCGTCCACCTCGTCCACGCGAGACCCTCTCTCGAAGCAGTTCTCGGTGTTCCACTCGTGGTCGCACCCTACCCAGGGCTGCGGGTCGTAGAAGGACACGACCAGGTAGTAGATGCAGTAGCCGAGGACGATGTTGTAGTACAGGCAGAAACATGCCGATATGCTCGTCATTGCAAAACCAACCCCTTTTGAAACAAAAAAGGGGACGAAAAATACCTCCAAAATGCATTTTAAAAACATCTGAACTTCATCAACAACCAAATCTACTACTCCCGTGAAAAGCAACAGTCCCGATGTAGTAATTAAGACACAATGTAATGTGGACTCACTTTTTGTACTGTGCATGTACGTCTTAGTGGATAGAATTGGAATAGTGACAAGTCACGTGTGACCAGGCGCGGTTCTAGAACCAATATTTTGTTGGGGGCTAGCAGGGTGGTTCCAGAATTTTTTTCAGGGAGGGGTTCTGAAATGTAGACCGGTTATTTTCTTCAGACACTTAAGCCTCCAAAAATCAATAGGTGGGGTGGGGGGGGGGGGGAGGTGGGGGGGGGGGGGGGGGGGGGGGGCTCATGCCATATTTTCAATGGGGAGCGCCAATAAAATCCTAAAATCTTTCACACTATATTAACTACAAATGCACCCTTGTCACGACTATTTCTTTAGGGGGAGACCGTTCGCATGTACATCACAATCCTTCTTTTTGCTAATACAATTTCTTTTTACGGAATTTATTTTTGGGGGCTAGACAAAAACAAAATTGGGGGGGGGGGGGGCTAAAGCCCCCCGTAGAACCGCGCCTGCGTGTGACGTGTACAGTTAGGAAAACAAGAGACAGCTTTTGTTACAAAAGTCGTGTCAGAATTGAAGTGTGGCGTTTATGTGCCGTCGGCGTCGCATTTGTAAGCTCTGGCAGGGATAATTATGATCGATTTTATGCAAGACTTTGATGCAAGACTTCTTACAACACGAACAGAGCTTACTGTGCACTCGCACTTGTTTTCATCAATGCATACGAGTCTGAGCAGCACGCAACTATTATTTTTTTCTGCAACCACCTATAGTCAATTACCACAACGCCCATGCGTCAGTTAGGAACGCAATGGTTCTCTGACTTAAAAATGATAATCTCCAAAGACATGAATAAGGGTGGAAACGTGAAATTTCTTTCCACGACCAGTATAGGACTTGATTAAACACAATTTAGAAAGAAAAGTCACTCACGCGATATGTTTCACCCATGAGCATTAAAGTAAACGACTTTAATAACCCGAAGAAGAAAATTTACGTGCGGCACGTACATTAGCCTTTCGCCAAGGCCATCGTGGCTTAACTTGCCGACAAAGCGACATAGAAGCGAAGCGACTGGAGCGGGAGACCACACACGCGAGTGGCGAAGCCACGAGGCCTTTTCCAACTTGTCAAACATTTCTTATGTTTTTCTTTATAATGTCGATTTTTGCTACCCCAAAAGGGTATAGCAAAATCCCAACCAATCATTAGCTTTTCAGGGCGCGTGTGGCTACTACCAGGACGCGTCCACGCGCCTGGATACTTGCACAAAATTTAAAAACAAAAAATGCGAGTCTAGTTTTCCACGAGATCGTGGCCGTGTAATAATTGTTCTTTCATAATCTTATTTTAATTTTACTTATTGAAGTACATGTATTTCAAGAATTTATTTGAGTGGGTGAACTTATTATTTTTTCATCTGAACATATAGTTATTTGCTCTCACGTTTTCTTTACTCACCCTTCTTTCAAAAATGGAAGCAACTATGGCAAAATCCGCGCTGTGATTGGTTAACCTTTCAGCACTCTACTTATTTGCATAAAAAAATGAATAATTATACAAAATCAAGTTCGAAAAGGCCTCGTGGCTTCGCCACTCGTGCGTGCTAACTTAATGTTTGCTCCAGTCGCTTCGTGCTTTCGCAGCTCCGCCGCTCTAAGCCACGATGGCCTTGGCGACGGGCTACACGTACCTTTGAATAACCTGCTAAGGCGCCATACGCTGATGCAGCCAAGACTGGAGAATTGACCCAAGCTCATCTCCAGGAATATGATAGGTAGCGCCACGAATGCTATCATGATCAAGTAGGGAATGATGAACGCCCCTGCGAAAGAGCACAATCAAACAAACATATTCAATTTGTTGCTGGACCCAGAGGGCCAAGCTAGTGTCCTCTTTGTATACTGTCTCATCTGACTGACGGACTGACCGACCGACCGACCGACCGACTGATTGTCATATGTGCTTTAGACTGGTTGTAGAATGGTGAATAGAGCTGGGCAGTGCTATCGTATAGGGGTACAGCCTCGTCCCCATGGTGTCGACCAGTACGCTTGAATTGGGGGCCGGGGGGCCTAGCGACCCGTTTGCCCGCCAAACCTATAATTTCAGTCTAAAACCGCATGTTCAAAAAAATTAATGTAAAATTGTCCTGAAAATTGAGAAACCTTAATAGCGCGTGTACGCAGTATAAAGTTGCTGCACTTCAGCACTTCATAAAGTATGCCGCTGCCCTTAAACTAACACAGTTTGAACGTAAATCGCTTATCTGAATAATTGGGTTAGACACAATCGGTATTGTTGTACCTCTTGACAATATCAATGCACGAGGCAATCTCCTACGTTTGTTTGGTTTTTTTTTGTTTAAAAATAGACCTTTGATATATGTTCATTGATAATTATATCCTGTTTAAGAGTCGTGTGAAAAAAATTCTTTACCGAGTCAAGGTGCGACGATTTGGGAGGCCAATGTGGAGGATCAACATACGTGTTTGCTAGGGCATTTCTTGTTATGCTAACAGAACTCAACCATCCTGTTCAAAAGCTCGAAATATCGTGATTTTCTGTAAATGATCATTTATGGTCCATCTTGGAAGAGAAAACGTCGGGTGTGAAACTTGTTCGTTCGTTGGGCTGTTGGGGGTGTAAGTTCGTTTGTTTGTGGTGATTTTTTCTTAACAGGAACAAAGAAAAGGGAAAAGGTTAATAGGGAGAACTCTACTTGTGTGTAAGACTATTTTGAATAGTGGTGAGAAATAAAGATCAAGTCAAAAAATAATAATATGTAAGGTCTATATATAAAGCGCACGTATCCACCAATATTCGCTCTTTAATCCACACTTCCGCCATGGGCATGCAGAGCCTCGATCTGGCAACTGTACACAAATGAGCCGGTTCAGTGATTCCCGTGTCGGGGTTCAGATCACTGAACCGGCTATTTTGATTGTGCAAAGTTGCCAGATCGAGGCTCCGCACGCCCATGGTGGAGCGTGAAAAGAGCGAATTGGTGCCCAAGTCGCTACGTCATTATTACCCTGCTCATGGGGCGAACGAATCAGTCCAAATACCATCTCAGCTCAAAGGTCTTTAGTTTGGTAATCGAAGGATTTCCTCTGCCTTACCTCCACCATTCTCGTAGCACAGGTACGGGAACCGCCACACATTACCAAGCCCGATGGAATACCCCAGGACGGAGAGGATGAACTCCAACCAGCCGCCCCACGAGCCCCTCGCCCCGTCGCCTTTCCCCTCGCCATCTCGCTGGTCGTGGGCGATAGCTGGCGTCGTTTCCGAGTCCAGCTCGATTGCCTTGCCGGCGGTTGGTGGATTGGACTCGTCCTTGCACACATCTAAAGCGGAGTACTCCTTCATCGCAAATATTCTGGGGGAAAGAAAGCTTCGGCTTCGATCACTTTACAACAACATCTGATGCCTCCCCCTCGCCCCCCCCCCCCCAAAAAAAATCAACTTTATAATTCGAATTGAGACCTCGAACTGGACCAGTGAAATAATTACCGAGTACATGCGTTGTATAAAGCAAATTGGGAAAATGTTGTTAGCTCGCTGTTGGTGAGTAATGTTAGCCCATTTTCGGAAATTATTCGGTATAGGCCTATACGCGTATTTCTCAGTCTGCTACTTACCCAAATTCAAGGGGCTCGCTTTGAACAGTTGGACTCTTTTGCCAAACAAGACGGAACTTTCAAGAGTGGTGGTAGGTCCAAACTCATAAGCACTTATCGCACAAAACCAAACCAAACCACACCACACTGCACTACCACAATGAAGACCACAACCACAACTGGTAGTAAGTATAGCAACCCACATCTAAAGTAGAAGATAAGGAATTTGTCCAAGTTATCCAACCACCTATCCCCAAGCTAAAGAGAGTTAAATCTGAAGGCTAGATCTGTCTTTTTAGTCAGTATGGAGCCACTGAAGTAGATCCCATTTTTGTTTCGACCTAAGAGTAGCAAATAGTGAACTTTATCCCTACCTACTTGACATCCGGCCTTCCTGATTTTTCTTTTCAAATGAAAATTAAAGATTAAAATTTACGTGTACGAGTGCTAACAGCAAGCAATCGGTGTGTATTGATGGATATAAACGAGGATGTACACACACATGTGGTTTTCACCGCGTTGAACTTTTGGAGAAACAAAATAAAACAAAATCACGGCAAGCATAATTTTCCAGAACAATCATAAAACAATAAAATATTTCGATACCAACGCACCAAAACAAGAAATTTCAAACCAAACAAAACAAAATGCAAACCAAACCCTCGGGCATCGCCAATATTCTCGTCATGTCAAGGCATGAACTTCGCCGACCCATCTCGGTCCACCCCAAAGGTAGACATCATCCAGTCCACGGAACTTGCTCTCGGGTAACTTGCCAAGACCAGTGCAGATGGGATCCGGATTAAGATCAATGAAGTTCTCCGCAGGGCCAAGCCAGTCAAGCCTACTCCAAGGCTGACTAGCATGCTGTCCGAGAACTATACTCCGCCGGGACAACTCCATATTCCACAGTCATCATCAGTGGTGTGGTAACGTAACCCCCACGATGTGTGCACGATACACGTACGTATGTACGTAGTTGGAGAGTCGGGATTATTTTAGTACGTTGAGTCCAAACCGGTTCTTCTCAGAACAATCACAAAACCATCACAAAATCACAGAAGAACTTCACATGGTGTTTCCGCAAACCTATACCTTGCTGTCTCACCATGTTTGTTTGATTGGGCATTATCATATCATCACAGGGATTTATGACAGCTAATTAATAACGTATACTACCGCCGGGATGCTGTGCTTCCGCTAGCTGGCCGGAATCGTTAACTTGAAATGAAAAAGAAAGTTAGGACTTGAAGCATATTGCGTGAATGAAAGCCTAGATGTTTTGTGAAAAACAATTAAATAGAGAATTGGCCTCTGACGTCATGCCGACACGTGGGGCGACAGGCAGTCGCTATGTTTCAAGAGATTTATAGTCTAGGCGATAATAAAAAAAAAAGCCCATTTAGGGCTAGAAGAGGCATTTTTGAGTAGACCTTTTTTGAGTAGAAGTTGGTAACATAGCTATTTTACCTAATTTTGGGGTGCCGAATCCGAAAATAATGGTTACCAAGCAGGATTTTAAGTGGAAATAGGTCTAATTTGCATAAATCGTGTAATATATTGTTTTCTCATGTTCGGGTATATTTTTTATATTTTATTTTTTGAAAAGTTTATTTTGGTGATTTTACTTACATTTCCTTACTTTAATAACATTTTCTAAAACATATAAGTGACTGAATAATTATGAAGACAAAGAAACAATCCAAAATGGCTGCTAATTACACCCTAATGTTGCGCACATTTAGTTTTCCTCACATGTCATCAAGTAGTCTCGCCAAATGTCAGTATTGATGAGCTTCAAATTCACAGTTACTTACAGTCGTGTTCCCTAACGTGGCGCACTTCGAAGCCTACCCGACTTTCCTCGTGTAGTGTTGCCAAACCTCTTTGTTGACAAACCTCAAATTCATGCAGTAAAACACTAGTACTTTTACCTTATTAATGCTTGCTATTTAACCTCTGTGAACAATTTCAGTTTCATAAACTTTAATCCGAAATTCAAAAACGGTGGCGTCCGGCAATTGGGCACAAATTGGCGGAGTGTTCCCTAACGTGGCGCACTAAAATAAATCTCGGAAAAATCCAAATTAACATTTAAGAATTTCTGTAAACTTGATAATTTCTGATAAATAATTATTATCTCTACTTACAAACCCAGCCAGATGTTTGTCAGAAAATTATTTTCTTATTTTTCGGGGCATCTTAGGGTTCACTTTGCACTTGAAAATAAAATCGGAAAACCACGCCAAAATTAATTTTTCTTCTAACTTTGTTACGGGTAAATAAACTCGCGATTTATGAACAGGAGTGTTTAGAACTTGATGGAATGTCACTTTCTGGGAAATTTCAATTAAAACTTTTGCTCTAGGTAGGCGCTACAGGCCAAAAATCAAAGTGCGCCACGTTAGGGGCCGCGCCACATTAGGGTACATCAACAACCCTAACAAAAATAAATGGGACATTATGTGAAAAATGATAACACTTTGATATTTAGGCCAAAGAGGCCAAGAAAAGGAAACGGGGGAAAATGAGGTGTCCGTATATTGGGCTAAACATTAGTTGAAGGGTTGCCTTACGTGGGAGACTTGAACAACTTCAAGGAAATCCCCAAAATAAAAGATTATTGCTGCTTACAATAATTATGTCAACGTCAAAACGTTTTCTTACGTATTATTTTGGGAATTTCCTTGAACTTGTTCAAATCTCCCACGTTAGGCGGCATGCAACCCTTCAACTACTTTTTAGCCCAATTTACGGACACCTCGTTTTTCCCCGTTTCATATCACAATGTAATCTTTGTTCAAATGATTTTCCATAAGGTTTTAATACGGTAACTATACCAGTAAGCAACATGGTAAACTTGAAGTTCATCCATAATGAGTTTTGGCAAGATAATACTTGATGATATCTGGAGACAAGGTAAACGCGCGCAACTTCAGGGTGCAATTGTAGCCCTTCTTGGATTGTTACTATGTCCTCATAACCATTCAGTCACTAATATGCTTTAGAAAATGGTAATGAAGTAAGGAAGTGTAAGTACAACCACCAAAATAAACTTTTCAAGAATTAAAATAATACAAAATATACCCAAATATGGGAACAAATATATTACGTCATCTTTAGTGAGGGTAGCTCCGATCAGTGCAGGGCACTGCTTTCCATGGAGGCCCTCAATATGAGAAATATGAGACCCATTATGTAGCACCTTTAAGGGTTACAAGGTGCTGCGGCGCATATTGCGGCCACTGCCAGAAACACCGGGGCAAACCCCTTCTCGTAGCGATAACTGTTACTGGGGTCTTTAACGTGCATTACACAACACATGGGACCTACGGCTTTACGTACGTCCCATCCGAAGGACGAAGCAATAATGGTTAAGTGCCTTGCTCAAGGGCACAAGTGTCCGGGCCCGGGCTCGAACCCACGCCACTGTTGCCTCTGAAACACCAGAGCATGAGTCCGGTGTTCTTAACAGCTATTACTCGACAGGTATTAAAGATTTATGCATATTAGGCATGTTTCCACTAAAAATACAGCTTGGTAACCATCATTTTCAGATTTAGCACCCCAAAATTAGGTAAAATAGCTGTTACCAACTTCTACTCGAAAATGCCTCTTCATGTAACATTTGTTTAAATATCGCCTAGTCTATTACGTACAGTGCAGACGAGATCCCTTCGCAGAAAGTTTGTATCCGTTTACCACAAAATCCACCTTTGCACTATCAATACAGTCATGTACACATAGTTCGATAACTCAAGGATGCAAAAATGGCGACGGGCGTTGGAGTAGTGGAATAATAAGCCATTTGCGAGTAACCTGTACCCTTTGGGATTTACATTTGAAAAACATCTGGTACACTGACTTGCTCAGAATGCTTGGGACATTTTAACTTTGAATTCTCCAGACCAAAGACACTCACCTGTATCACACCTGTAGACGGCCAACCACTAGCTGTTGCCTGAAAGATGGTCATGGGTAAAGAGCCGGAGCTGGTGTACCCCATTCTGTTGCTAATCACACCATTCCGGACAAGCTCTATCTTGCATAGTTACGTAAGAGACGCTCAGCGCCACTACGTTGTTCACAATGGGTGAGAATGGCACAAAGCCATCACCAGACCATGCCGGAGATGGGGGTTGCTAGCGTATAAGGCTTAATTGCCCCGAATCACGTGATATAGTAACAGTCTCTTTGGTCGGGAGAATGCACACTTAAAACGTGCAAAGCACCGGATTAAGTCAGTGTTCCAGATGTTATTCAAATTTAACTGGCAAGTGACTTATTGTGTGTATTTTACACAATCCCATGGTGTATGGAAAAAATACAATAGAAACGTCTCTGGTTCGGATTCACTTACGGTACCGAGGTCCTCTATAAGCCTTTTATTTCCGAACCAGAATTGTGGCAATATTGTATACATGACTTGTTTTTTTTATTGCGAGAATAAATTGGCAAACTTTCACCACTACATGTAGTTTGAACCCAGTGCATGTGTTTATACGTACATGTGGATTCAAACACTAAAATGCCACTTTTGCAATACACCCCGTAATCCTTCATTTTTCTGTGCGACTTCATCAGTGCCTGCATGAAAGAGGTTTTTTTCGCAATTCTTTTCTTTCAGAATTCTAAACATTGCGCGACATATGCCTCCTGCCTAGTTTGAAATGTCCACACCATAAATCTCACACCGCGCGGTATGCGCCTCGTGCACCCCTTTAGAAACTACCGCACTATAGGCCTATAATCTCATTCAAAGTGAGCAACCGGGCTTCAGTTTCCATTGTTGTTGCATTCGACATGGGCGTAGCGAGGGGGTGGGTTGCCCCCCCCCCCCCTGGAAAAGCCAAAAGGGGGGCGGGGGGGGGGGAGACGGAAAAAAAAAGGGGGTTTGAAGTCATATTTGCTATTAGTTTAATGCACATTTAACAAAATGGGCGTCTGCAGGGGTGTCAATGGGGGTGGGGTGGGCAAATGTCCCCCCGCCCACCCAAAAACAAAATGATCAATTGAGAACATGCTAGAGAGAGTACAAGGATTTTGGGGGAACAATTTGCTTTGCCCCCGCTGGAAAAAATTCCATGCATGGGTGTCGCGAGGGGGGGGGGGGGAGACAAGAAAGAAAAGCATTGATATTGCTGTTAATTTCATGGGTGGGGTGGGTACATGTCCCCGTGCCCACCCTCGATATGCTAGAAAAGTACCGGGATTTTTTGGGGGGGAAAAAATGTGCTTTGACCCCATCTAGAAAAATCTTGGCGACGCCCATGGCTCCAAGCCTCATTTTGAAAGAGCATATCAAATTCCATCTCCAATGTGTGCGTTTACGGATGGTTTAACATTTTACCGCAATCCATGAAAGGGAAACATTGGCCTATACTTCACAGAGGAAAAAAATTGAGATTTAAGATTGGAGACGAATCGATTGGATGACTTTTAAAGTATTTTTAATGAAAAATAATAATGTGTACTTATATAGCGCTTTAAACAAAGATCAAAGCGCTTTACATTATTATTACCCCTGATACAATATCAGCTCCCTGGGCAAGGGCGGATCGGGGGGGGGGATGGCAACGGGGGCCACCCCCTCCCAAAAAGAACCCTTTTTTGATGTGAAGTCGCAATAAAGGCAGATTTAATCTAGCTGTATATGAGCCGTCATTAGTTACACCCGCTCGACGTATACATGTACGTGCGCAGCTGATTTTCAATTAGGTAAGCAAAATCTCAATATTACTGATTAATTTGCAGATGAGGAATATAGTCCGAAGCACCATGATTTTACTAGCCAGTATAAAGGCCTATACCTAGACTGGATTGATCATTTAATGTGCCCTAAAGAATAGTTAGGGCTAGGCCTAAACAGACCGCTATGTATACACGGTCACACCAGTATTCTACTGTATGGCTACGCACTGGAGTAAACCCTGTGCTAAAGGCGATTGTGTATTTAGCGTGTAGTCTGGTTCCCAGACCTGACAATTATTCCCGACGCTAAAATTGTAGGTCAGGCATACGGAAGCGGCGTAATACGGAAGCGTATTTAGGACATGACCGAATATATGTTTTAGGCCCACTACTTAGCCCGGGCGGATAACTATTTCGCCCGGGCGGATTAATATTTCGCCCGGGCGGATTACTATTTCGCCCGGGCAGACTACTTGCTCGCCCGGGCAGATTACTTATTCTCCCGGCCGGGCGAATTAGTAATCCGTCCGGGAGAAATAGTAATTCGCCCGGGCGAATTAGTAATCCGCCCGGGCGAAATAGTAATTCGCCCGAGCGAAATAGTAATTCGCCCGGGCGAATTAGTAATCCGCCCGGGCGAATTATTAATCCGCCCGGGCGAAATAGAGGGCCGGAATATTTTTGTTTGGTCATGTCCTAAATACACTTCCGTACAGGCAGCCTCCGTGGCTAAAAATAAACACGACAACATTGATGGCCATTTTTCGAAGCTCGGCTTCGTTTCCGATTTCCCTTTATCACTTTTAGGTTTTAATGTTCTGATCAAATTTTAAAATAAATCACTTGCTTCGTAATATCATACAGTTATGATAGTACAGTTTGATGTTTCTGTAAGATAACATTGTCTAATGTTGATCTGGAATATTCAAAATTAGGCACCCAAATAGCACTGTTAGCAGGCGGAGCCGAATGAAGACCGAGTTTTGGAAAATCTCGGTAACGGTCGTCAAATTCAAAATTGTACATGACGCAGCAAAAAGTTCGCCCATACGATCCGAGTATATTTGATGCAAAATATCGTCGTTGAATTTCAAGTTTATTAAATGAAAACAATGAATATTAATTATCAACTCATTTACAAAAATTGTAATAAACAATTAGCAGTTAATTAAACCTATATTAAACTCGGAAATACTCGGGGCGCTATCCGATTGTCGACGAAACGAATTCGGCAAACTTCGGAAATTTTCGGAAAAAGGAGCACTTCCTCCCGTTTTAGTCACGTGATGTGAATTGTAATACAATGTATTACCGGAGGCTACCGGACCTAAGATTCATCAGGAAATCAGAATCTTTTGGTCTGGGAACCAGACTATTTAGCGTGCACCGTTCCTATAAGAGAACACAAGTCCACTTTTAGCTTATTCGACTCACCCAACAACTGGTGATGTTTAAAACGACCCGGAATGTTGTACATTTGACTTATGAGGGCAGTTAGGGAAATGCTGGGGTGAACGACGATGAAGACGACAAAACACAACACGAAAAAAAAAAGAGCTGGTACTCTGCGAGGCACCGTGGATGCTGACAAATAAATACTGTGACTAATTGAATTTCTTGCATTACTAATTGAATTTCTGGCATTACTTATTAATTTTTTTCGCATTACTAATTTTGTTTCGCATTAGGGGCCATTCAGAATTTTCAATGTTTTAAAATTTCGACTTTTTTCCAAATTAATTTGACCCACCCACCCACCCCTAATTTCGATTAATAAAAAACTGAACATGTACATGTACATGCACTTGCACTTGCATGTACATGTACTTGAACACCATGTACATGTGTGTCTAGTTCAGTGACGGCGTGAAGTTGTCGGTCTTCCTCTTTTGCACTGGTGACCTTCAGTTTTCTTGTGTTTTGCCAGCTGATATGCTGTTGGGAATGACAGGTTGCAGTTTGGAAGCCACAAAGATGACCGTGGTTTTGTCGTTTTCTGGATGAGGTGGATGACATGTGACATACGAGGTTGTGCCTGTCATGTGAGGTAGCTGGGAAAAACATTCGCTCGTACCCCCCCCCCCCCGCCCTGTTTGCAGGGCGGGGGGTACGAGCGAAAGAAAACATCAGACATCACATCACAGGCTGCGGTCCTCGTAGTCTTGGAGTCCAGTGGTTGAAAAGTCCAGTTTTTATAGCGATTGGATACACGTAGGCCTACATGACGTACATGTACAGTACACAGTGGCGTAGCCACGGGGGGGGGGGGGGGGGACAGCCCCCCCCCCTCCCCATGAGACCTTGTCGCCCCCCTCCCCCAGTGGCCCCCCTCCCCCACTGAGATTTTGAGTTTCTAAAAAAATTATCATTGATCTATATGACGCCCCCCCCCCATGAAATGTTCCAGCGCCCCCCCCCCCCCCCCCCCCCCCCACTGAAAAATTCCTGGCTACGCCACTGGCCCAGGTTGACCATGCACACCATATGGCTCGAACTATAGTGTGATCCGGTACACTCGCTGGCCCCGTCCAGCTGTTGCTTCCCCGTCTCTGTAGCGGTCCGCTCCCGCTTCAGTCCGGCCGTCTCTGCGAAGCGATAGCTCGTACCGTGCCCACTCGGTTCAGCTAGAATCTTTGGCATACTTGGTTCCCCCAGTTAGTGTTGTGAGACTCCGACACCGGTGTTGAAACCAAGGAAAAGCCTGACGTTGGAGGAATCCCCACGAAGTTAAATAAACCACTAAAGTCACTGTGTGAAAGCTCTGTTTCCCGCCAAATTCGTTATCATAGATAATAATGTTGATTCTAATATAAAGTTAATGAACTAATAGGGAATGCAACAATAATTTCAGGAATGAATAGCAGGGCAGCTCCGTCGCACAGACTTTAACGTTTCACCACTTGAAACTTAGAACTGATAGACACATGGATTACAAGATAAGAGAACTGTTCAATTGCCTCATTGATGTTCTCCGAAGTCACCGTGTTAAAATTAGAAAAAGTTTTAACTATGGAAGGTTGTGAATCTTTTCTTTCAAAAGTGAGGGAGGAATTATTGCAGTCATATTTATTTTATCGTCAATGTAAAATTGTGTCTATTTCATTTTTATTCCCGGGTATTTTCGTGTTGTTTCTTTAGTGTGTGTATTTAATGTGAGTGTAGACCTATCTATGTCAACTAGGTTGTTTGTTTTTATGGTTTGCATTTTTCTCTCTGGGGAATGGGATTGCTTTTGTTTCTCGGTTTTGTTTTGTTTTGTTTGTAATAATCTTTTTAGCCCGTTTGTCATTCATTCCCGTTATTGAGTCTGGTTGTTTGTTTTGTTTGTTAGTTTGTTTGTTGGGTTGTAAGAGTATTTATTTATTAGTTCGTTTTTGTA